CCCTTCCCTTATCTCCAATCGAATGCAGAAAAAAAGAGAAAAAACCCTAGATAGGGTGCGCAGAGAATAGAAACCTAGGCAAGCAGAAATCTAGGCAGATTCAAGTTGCTCTGATACCATGTTATAATTCGGTTCTGCCTTAGAGTTCTGTTTGTCTGAGATCAGTTATGTAGAAAGAGAAAGGTGGAAGAAAGAGAGAAAGAGAGAAAGAGAGAAGGGAGAAATTCTGGTTCGAACTGGAAGACTCAACATAACCTCTCCTAGTCGGCCAGGCAGTATTTATATTATTAAAATTATTTGAAAAGACATATGTGCCCTTATTTAAATTAGGAGCACTGGTTCCAACACAACATTACAGATCAGCAACATTAATCTAGGTATAAAGACAGAAATACCCCTACGCTAACAAACAGTAAATAGGCATCCATTGGTGTCTATATAAAACATGATTGTAAGGGCATTTTGGGTTTTATCCTTTGTTTGTATTTGAGTGCCCAAGTAAGGGCAAACTTGTACTTTTCCAGCAAAATATCAAAGCAATGTTTCTGGTGTGAACAGTAACCAGACACACCATATGTAACTCCCCTCTTCTTCTCTTCTCTCTTCTTCTCCTCCCTTCTCTTCTTTTCTTTTCTTCTTTCAGCTTCACATTGATCAACTTGTAATCAGAGCAACATCTGGATTCAGGGTGAGAATTCTGCTGGTCTTCGTACAAGTGGCGCCAACCATCCTTGAAACTGGTATGATTCAAATCACCCTGAATTGAGGGATTTTTTTGGGATAGGTTTCACAGTCATGCAAAACCTTTGTGATTTGTTATGATTTTTCCAAAAGGAAATTCACAGAAAATTCAGATTTGAGGTTGAAGCTATTTCAGTGCCTTTAATTGAGTGTTTCTCCTTCAAACCAATTTCATTTCACTCATTTTATATTTCTAGGAAGACAGGAAGTGGTCCTGTAATTTTCTGAACCTTAGAAATATTTTGGGGGTTTTTCTTCTTCCTATATTGTTCTGCCCAAACTGTCCTTGGGGGTGGTTATTGCTTCTTAGCTATGTTGGCTTTTACCTTGGCCTTGTTGTGTATTGGTGGTGCATTGGAACTCTTTGTGACTCTCAAAATTATTCCCCATTAAGAAATGGAGGCTTCTAAGGATGTTCACTTGGTTCCCAGAGTGTTTCAAGGAAATGTGGATACTTCCAGTGGCATGATAAGCACTGTGAAAATTGATGAAACCAACTTCTTGGAATGGTCCTAGTCTACTAAGCTCACAATTGGAGGAAGAGGTAAACTGGGTTTTCATCAGCAAAAAAGAAACCAAGCCTAAATCACAATACCTGAAGTTTGCTAAATGAGAGGAAGACAATCTGATGGTAATGTTGTGGCTGGTTTGTTCCATGCAGCCACATATAACCTGTAATTACATGATCTTATCCATGCTAAGGATATTTGGGATAGGGTCATGGCTACCTATTCTCAATCCCAAAACACAGCTAGGATTTATCAACTTTGCAGGGAGGCCTATAGTTTGCATCAGGGGAAAGGACTATAGCTATGCACTTCTCCTCCTTACAATTCCTGTGGGAAGAAATGGATCATTTGGAGGCCATAGAGTGGAATTATCCAGAAGATGGGGAGCAATACAAGAAATATGTTAAGAATAACGTTTTTTATTTCTTGGTGGGGTTAAACTTTGAGTTTGACCTTACTCGGCAATACATCCCGAGTGCAAACATTGTTTTCTCTTATTGTTGTCTACTACCTAGTGCAGGGTGAGGAGAGTAGGAGAGCAGCCAAGGTGACATCTCCCATGATTGAACATTCTTCTTTCATGTCCTCTAAGCCCAAGCAAAGCAATAGAGTCTATAATCACTGAGAAGTCAATGATGTAGTTTGTGAATATTGCAAGAAGCCCAGACTTACCAAGGACAAATGCTGGAAGCTTCATCCTCAACTGAACCCTAAAAAATTTAAGATAGGAAAGAAGGGCAATACACACTTGGCTGTAGTTGGTAATGATGTTCAACCACCTGCTCCTATGACTTCCTCTCAGGAGTCTTCTAGCCTAATGGGTTTTTTTTTCTGATCAATAACTCACATATTTCATTAAAATTAGAGAGAAAATATACAATGGTACAAGAAAAGGGAGATAAACTCTCTTATCTCACCTAACCAAAACAACAAGACAAGAGAAAAAATTACAAGATAGCCCAGAATAAAAAATCCCTATTTGCCCCTTGTTTAGCTAACCCATCAGCAAAGGAGTTAGCACTTCTTTTAACCCAACTCATCTTCACCTCAATATTCTTGGTTAACCAATTGAATTTCCTCTTCTCATTGCTATAGTTACAAATATTAGCAGTACCATTTTTCAGCCAATCCACTACCAACTTAGAGCCACCCTCTATGACCAATTTGGTGATGTTCAGTTCAATTTCCCTTTGAGTTCCTTCAATAACAGCTGAAATCTCAGCTCTTAGGGAATCACCCATTCCAATTGCCCCGAAAAGAGAGCAATTATCACTCCCTCCTCATTTCTTAAGACACCCCCAATACCTGATGGACCCGGATTACCCATGCTACTTCTTCCATCAAAATTAAGTTTGATAAAACCCACTAGGAATCCAAGAAGGTAAGGATGTGCCTTTAACCGGAGCTGATCTTGCAATTTCCTTCCAATTTCTGAACAAATCATCCGCTGAATGGGTAAATTGAGAAGCCTTCCATATATATGTGAAAAGGATAATGGCATTTCCTATAAGGAACTTCAGTAAAAACTATGCATAAAACAGAAGGTATTAAGGAAAGGTTGATGCTTACTGTTATGAAACCCAAACGCAATGCCATGTAATCTGACTTCTGTATAGATCTCCAGAATTGGCGTAGAAAGCAAAGCTGAAATAAGAACAATTTTTCATGGTCAACTTTAACTTAATGACACAACTCCCAATAAAAGTAATACCTAAAGGAAAATGGAAAAAAGTCTGATATATCCAATAGATGTATTTAAAAATTAACAAAATAAAAAAGAAAACATGGTAATTATGCATGATCAATTTCACTTATTGAGACATGCAGATTAAATAAAAAATACTTTGATATGTCATCATGTTTTTGAACATTAACCAAGAAAATACAGTGACAATAAATGTTTTAAGAATACCTACAGACGAGTTACATATGAAAAATATTCAGTTTCTGTTGTCTTTGTTTATTTCTTAGAACAAGTAGCATAAAGAAACTAGATAACTGAAAATTGATCTGTAAGTGGTATGAATGAGACAGACAAATACAGGAGAATTCTTTCTGGTTGGGATTTTACAGTCAACCAGGAATTTTCCATTGAAAAATCAGCTTAAAAGATAAACCCTTCATGGTCATCAAAGAAGCCATCTTTGTATGTGTGGCCTTAGCAAATTTTTTTTTTATTTTATGCAACACTATTTTGTGATTATTTATCCTGCATATATGTATATGATAATAAATTTATTAGGAAAATTGAACTGATAATTTTTCATTGCAGTTCGAAATAGAGAAGTTGAACAGATTTGTGGAGTGTCTAAGTGAGTCGACCACACCAAGATAAAGGTAATTATATTAATGAAAAGTAAAAGGACAAATCTATCCCTAGTATACAAGATGTATAACTCATAGTGAAAGAATGAAGAAATATGTACAATAAGAAGAAAATTTATAATATTAACCCTCGTTGTCCTTGTCTCTACACACCCCCTCAAACTGATGTAGAGATACTAACATCAGTTTGCTCATGAGAAAGGAATGTCTGACTCTAGTCATAGCTTTGGTGAGGATGTCCACCAGTTGAAAGGTTCAAAGATAACATGAGGAAGTGAGATGCGGCCAGAAATGAGAAGATCCCTGATATGACAACCCACTTCAATATGCTTCATTCTCTCATGGAAAAAAAAGATTGGAAGCAATCAAGATTGAGATGATGTAGGAGAAACTGGAGCCAAATGATTTCACTACACGCTGAAGACATAGCTCCATATTCTGCTTCTATGCATGATTTAAAAACTGATTGCTGTGCCCCATCCTGTAATGGACCATCTAGTATCTGGACAACCAGCCCAGTCGGCATCGGCATCGGCATAGGCTGGTAACTGAAGGGATGGGGAGGAAGAAAAGAACATGCCATAAGAAGCAATCCTCCTAAGATAACGAATGATACAATGTACAACTGTCATATTAGATTGTTGAGGGGCCGAAACAAATTGGTTGACTATCTGGACAGCATAAGAGATGTTTGGTCATGTCATTGTAAGGTAAATAAGACTCTCCGCAAGTTGACGGTAGAGAGTGTCATCCTCTAAGAGTGGACCATCATCCCTACTCAACTTCAGGTTAAGTTCCAACAGTGTATCAATTGTCTTAGTACCAGTAAAATGAGCAAGCTTGACCAAGTCAGTGACATATTTCTGTTGATTAAGAAAGTAGCCACTGGAACTGTGGTGCACTTCCACGCCCAGAAAGTATGTTACTAGTCCAAGATCCTTCATTTCGAAGGATTAACTAAGAAGATGTTTTAGCTGATGTATATGATGCAGGATCTTTGTGATTCAGCACTATTCTTGCAACCAACTTAGGTCTAAGTGTGTAGCACAAACAAAGAACTAATAGAAAAAGAAGAGAAGAGAAGAGAGGAGATGGAAATAAGATGAAAATCCTAGGCAATCACACCCTCAACTTGAAAATCACACCAAATTATGTAGAGAACTTTCTTTGTTCATTAGCAAAAACTATCTTCCAAATGAGCCTTACAAACTTAATAAGAAGAAGCTTCCGAAGGAAGAAACTTGCCCCCCTAAGTTAGGTTGCCTAACAAGCCACTTAAAAAAGCTAGATTAAACTAAACCTTCTCCAAACAATTACAAACATAAAGCCAAACAAAGGGAAATTACTAGACTAAGATCTGTTCCCAAACATAAGCCCCCCTAAACACGCAAAATTACAAAAATACCCTTGCAATCCAGAAATGTAAGAAAATCAAATAAGTCCTGTCCAGCAGCAAGCTCAACCACACAAGGAGCATTTAAAGGTGGATTGAAGACTCTAGGGTCTTCCCAACTTGATCCACTGCTAAACCAGATCCATGTGGCCCCCACATCTTCGCAATGATGCCAAATGAGAATAGGAGCAGCTTTGGTTCTCTTTTGATATTCCTTAAGTTGATCCCCATCAACTCTCCCCGGCTTATAAAAACTCAGCTCCGTTGAGTAAAGACACCTCTCATACATATTACAATTCAGGCATTGGAACTCATTGGCAGCAATCCAAGTGCAATCAGAGTGAGGACAACCTTTCCATTTGACAAGAAACTTGCGATATTCCCCATGTCGTGCTGAAACAATTTGACCATGAATAACACCTTCAATCTCTTCCTTGGAAATGGGGGCTGGTGGTAAGGGGCCTACGGATTGGTCCATATTGGTTGCATCACCATGATTCGATGTTAAATCTTCCACATTGAACGCATTACTCACACCCATATCTTCTAGCAAATCAAGTACATAAGCATTAGAGCTGATTTTCTTCTTGATTTTAAAAGGACCCAAGCATCTTGAATGGAGCTTCTTATAAACACCTTTAGGGAAATGCTCAGGCCTAATTCGTACCATTACCAGGTCCCCTTCATTAAAATCAGTAAACCTGCGTCGTTGGTCAGCATGGGACTTATAGGCTTCATTGCTGGTTGCAAACTTCCTCCTAACCTGATCATGGATCTCCTTTATGTGATTAGAAAAATTTTCTACATCTGCACTTGGTCTTGCTTCTGATGGCCAAGGAACTCTATAGGCTTCTTAGGCTGAATTTCCATCACTATCTCAAAGGGGCTGCAGCCTGTACTTCTGTTCACAGAACAGAAGTAACATGATCACTCACCAAACAATGAAGGGGACATGGTAATGGTAGTTTCTCCTCCCCATGACCACTCACAGAAGTAACACTCACCAACCAAACATGAAGTAGCATGATCACTCACAGAACAGAAGTATCATTGAGAGATGCCATGGATTCAAGGTTTAAAATGTTGATGTCAGTGGAGATGTCAGTCATCCAAATATAAGAAACATGTTGGAAATATTGTAAAAATTATAGACATGGTGGAAACATTTTAAAATATGAAAAATATAGAATGATATTTTATGAAATGATAAAAGAAGCATAGGCACGCCTTTTTAAATTATGATCTTGATCCAAGTCACTAAACAACGCTAAGAAACTAAGGTTATAGACAAAAGAATACCTTTTGAAGTTGCCCTGTAAACCTTAAGATTCAGAACTTCAAGATAAAATGATTTAAAGCAAAATGTAACTATAGAAAGTGTAAATGGTCGCAATAGATCAACCAATTGCACAAACAAAAAATAAAAATTTAACTTCATGTTTGAAATGAATATTGAGCTAGCTCAAAGTGGTAATCATGTAAGTTAGGCAGATAATAGCATTGTTACTTAACATATCTTCAATATTCTACCAACTTATGTTATAATACTATCTCTTGGACTCCACATAGTATTGGTAGTGTTCACTGGGGAATATGTTGATTCTAGTAAATTTCATGTCGCTACCCAAGAAAGTGGAAATGGAAATATGCCGTGGAAACTATTTGTTGTATTCCATGCTGCCACAGGTAAGGAAGACTTTTATGTGGGCTGAAACTGCTTGTGAGATATGGGAACAAGCGAAGTCCACCTATTCAGAGCAGAGACACTATGCCAAGATATA